TTTGGGGAAACTCACTAACCTTTGGCTTACAGTTTGAATTAATGGTTTCAGGTACTTCAGAGGATAGGGGCAAGGCGAAGGCTTGACCGTGCACATCATTCTTGATTTTATGAGATTATGATTTTGGGATACTCTGATTCATGTTTATGACTTTTGGAAACTATGTTTTGTAAACACTTATGGTTTTAGATTGGTTTCAAAAAATGAAAAATTTTACCTTGATTTTTGGGATGTTACATTTTAGTTAAAAAAATAATTTCAAAAACTCATGAAAATGGCAAACAAAGTCTTATATTTTTGAAATTAATAAGCTTGTTACAACCCACCAAGGCCCATATTGCAAGTAAATGAAAGATAAAAGCACAACCATAGAAGGAGGAAGATGGTAACAACCTTGGATGATCTTTGGGTCCTTTGGGGGAGGCTTGGAAGTTGATGGAGATGGATGAACCTTTGAGACACCAACAAGTTGTCAACTTGATAAAAGATGCTAGTCTTGTAAGTAAAACCCTTAAGCTTCGAACCAAACCCAAGTATGGTTCAATGAGAGCAAAAGGATGCAAGTAACTTGAAATCTAATCTTCTAAATAAGAGAGAATGAGAGAGATCAAGGAGGTCACGGTTTTTCTATCAAAAAATGAAAGGATGAAAGCCTTCATAAAGTTAAATTATTACCCAAGAGTTCTTAACATTTTAAGCATTCCATACCCTAAAGCCTACATGTCTCCCATGCCTTTTAAGCCATGCTTACTTTCCCTTATTATATTCAAAAGACCATGTCTTGTTTCGTAGAAACTAGCTCATCTTTATTTGTATAAAAATAGAAGAAAACTTTATAAAATTCTTACAACTCTTTATAAGATATAAACTTTAACTTCTAGCAACAAGACAAAAGAGTCTTTCTAGTCCAAAATAATGTACATGACTTATTAATTCATAGCATATTAAATAATATATTACTTGTTATTGTAAAATAACTATTTCCATGAAATAAGTACTTTCCCTATTTATTATAAGAGTTTATGAGTATTTTTTAGAATCAATTGCTAATAAATAATCAATTATATCAAGTTGTTGTTAGTGTGACCCTTAGGATCATATGTTAATTAGCAATATCATTTTAATATGACTCTTGAGCATATAAGATCTTTCAAATGTTTCATTAGGTGGTGTGTAGCACCAGCTTTATGTCTAAGAGTGATTTAATACTTTCGGCTGAGTCTTCTCACTATACTTTGTAGGATGTTAGACTGCCTTTGTGACTCTTGCATGAAAGATTAGGATCTGGCCCTTAGCAATTTTATGAAAGATCAGGATCTGGCCCTGACACTTTTATGAAAGACCAGGATCTGAACCCTGTCACTTGTATGTAAGTCCAGGATTTGGTCCTTCACATTGCAAGGAAATACCATGATTCGGCTTATGGCTAGAAGTGATTATAAGACTATGATTTAGCTTACTGTATTCACTTGGGGTTGAAATAGACCCGCAATTTGTATATATGTTATGTGGTATTTTAGGGAACTTACTAATCTTTGTGCTAACAGTTTTATATTTAACTCTTTTAGGTACTTCTTGTTCCAAAGGGAATGGTCCGGCTCGATCGCACTACATCCCTAGAGTTTTCTACACTATCTAATTTATGAATTTACTCTAATTTTTTGACAATACATTACAATCTAATTATCTTTTGAATGATTAAATGAATGGTTTTTGGTTGTTGGAAAAATGAATCATTTCCCTTATATTTTTGGGATGTTACACAATTAATTAGAAAATAAATACATAAAGGGCATTATGGTCATTTCAAATATGGTGCAGACTAAAATCACAACAAAACTGCATATCAGAGATGAAGTGTGTAAATTTTAAACAAAGGATGGATGGTCCAAGTTACTTTTTGAAAATATGGACTAAACGTACATTTTTACATCTGCACGAGGGACGATTGGTGTAATTTACCCTTTTATTAAGTAGAATAACATAAATGAAAATGGGAAAATTAATTGAAAAATGGTATAATAGTAATTTCATATCAAATTTGTAACAAAAAGAAACCACATGGATGATCCACACAAGTTTTTAAAACCATAAGAACTATGTTTGTCAAAAAAAAATAACATGGATTGAAGTTGTGATATTTGGTAAATCATGGGGACCATTAATATAAATTAGTCAAAAAATAGTAATCAAGATTTTCATAGAGAATGTAAAAGCAACCAAACAATAACCAAACAATGTTAAGTTCAATTTTCTATCTTTGCGGGATAAAAAGTTACTTACCATGAACTCAAAAAAAAAAAAAAAAAAAAAAAGTAGATTACACGAATGGTCCCTACGGGTGGAGTATGCGTGTTTGTCCCTAATTGTGTTGATTTGTTCCCTATAATGTATTTTTTTTTGATAGGAAGGTTGGTGTTCCCTGAAAGACCTAAAAAGACTATATTGCTCTCTTTATTTATTTTTTTAATATGTTTATTACTTATTTTTTATTCATTTATCAAAAATTAAAAAATATATATATTAATAGACAAAGTAGGTCTCGCCCCAAAACACCTATGCCCAATTGCCCACCATTCTCACAATCTCACCCGTGTGCACCATTCTCGTCATTGTCACCGCCCTCCGGTTGTCTTCTCCGGTGAAATGTTCGACATCCCACAACCATTGTTCTTTTGCAAATCCCAAATATAAAAACTAAACCAAACCATATAAATCTAAATCTAAATCTATAGAATCCAGAGAACTTACAAAAACCAACCACATCAACCAAAGAAAAAAAAAACAAATTCCAGGATCTGAAATTTGGAACATTGATTTCTTCCCCAACACCCTCCATATTTTTTTTCCAATAATGCATCTTTCCATGGTTTCTTTAGTTCATCCAAAGCAAACAACATCAATACTTGCCAATTAGTCTCATGTATAATACATATATAACCCTAGGGTGATGAGTTTAAAAAAACGATATGAATCAGATAAAGTATTTGAGTCGGGGTATATGAACGGTCGGAGTTCGACCTAGGAGACTAAGAAAGACAGTGAAGAAGAAGGATAAGGTTGTCAATTATGTTTTACCCGAGGCATTATTTTAACGATCTTCTAATGGTGACCAACGAGATGCAGTGAAAAGTGGTGGTGACAGAGACATGGTTCTAACCGGAGAGAAGAGGCAGGATAAGCAGCGGCAGCGGTTGTGTAGTTGTCGATTGTATTTTGGTGGTAATGACGGCAGCGAGAAGGCTAGTTATCGGAGTGATGGTGGAATCACCGGTGCTGTTGGTCCATACCTTCTCAGAGACCTTCTGCTTCGTGGTCTTCTAGAAACGGGAGTTGAGGGTTTGCTCGAGAAAGATGGAAGGTATTCTGGTGGCTATGTGATACAAACTCATCATATACTAGGCCTGTATCATGCCATAAGCCCAAGTGTAGAGCTCACTCTCAAAAGCCAGCTTGTAGGAGGAGGGGACACCTAGACTTATAAGCCACCCACTTATAGTTTTTCAACCGATGTGGGATCATAACAATACCCCACACTTTGAAGAGCCAACGTCCTCGTTGGTCACGGTTGGCATCCCCTTTCAATCCAAGCCACCACTCCAAGTCATTGTTGGTCACGACTATGTTGGTCACGGTTGACACCCCTCTTTTCGGGTCCAAGCCAGCACTCCGTAGGCCACCACTCCAAGTGTTGATACTTCGAAAGATGGGGACGACTCTAATACCAATTGATACAAAACCACCCCATACTAAGCTCGTATCTTGCCATAAGCCCAAGTGTAGAACTCACTTCCAAACGCCAGCTTATAGGAGGAGGGGACACCTAGACTTATAAGTCACCCACTTATAATACTTTCAGCCGATGTGGGATCATAACACTATGACATCTGTCGGAGACGATGTTGATGAAGATGGGGAGGAGAATGATTGATGACAGCTTTACGTTTTGAAGGTGTAGGTATAAAGCGAATTAGGGTTATAACCGTATAAGGGTAGGTTTTATTACTTTATAAAATTATAATAGTAAATAAATAATATAAATAATAAACAAATAATAAAAAGGTTTTCAAAAAGAATAAAAAATAAGAAATAAACAATAAATAAATCCAAAGAGAAATAAAGAAGGGCAATATAGTCTTTTTAGTTCCAAACACGAAACAAAAATACATTATAGGGACCGTCCGAGTTAAAAAAAACTAATTAAGGACCATGCGCGCAGATTACCTCAAACCACAGGGAGCATTCGTGTAATTTACTCCAAGCAAAATAGCCCGAGGAAATCACGCCACAAAGTCGTCGCCAGATTTGGGATATGGAAAAACCGAAGAGATGCCTGATCATTCTGGTTCCGCAGGAAATTCAAAAGCAAACCATTTCAATTGACAAGGATTCAACATTTATCAAGGGTTCTAAAGCAACAGTTACCGAGTCAGTTTCAGAAAACTCAAAGTAAAAGACCAATTTGGCCTCCGAACATGATGCTGCAGTTATCATTCAGTCGACGTTTAGAAGTTTTCTGATCATTTCAAAAACCAATCTTCAGGTTTTCTTAATCTTCGTGTACAAATACTTATGATTTTTTCTAAATTGTTAGACTAGACATTAAAATGAAAGACTTGAAGCGGCCAATGTTTGTGATTTAACCAATCGAAAAGACAGCAAGTTTTATAAATAAAAAGCTAGCTTGAAGCTAGGCAAATAAAGTCTTACAAATTCGATTAAATATACAAATACCAGGAACCAAATAAATGGATTAAGATATGAGAAAAGAAAAGAGTAGATCAAGGGAACCCAAGCATCAGAAGCACCTCAAAATGTCAACAAAGGCATCCACCCTCGTATCATTTCTTGTATGGGAACCGCCTTAGCATCTTAGTATCTTACTTTGACGTGATCACCAAAACAACCATCTAGTTTTCTTTGATTATTTATTAAATACATGAAACTAAGATACATATGTTGCATAATTTGTAAATGATTATTCCTTTTCATTTATATACTTAACAACCACCACCACCACCACAACCACCACCACCGCCACCGCCTCCTCCACCACTACTAGCGGCACCTGCTATGCCACCAAAACCGAAAGCGTGATTTTTGCGGCGATGTTTCTTATCGGATTTATGATCACCAGAGTCAGCACAAGCAAATATAATCATCGACAAGACCGACATAGACACCACAATCATGCATAACATGAACGCGATATGGGAACCCTCAAAGTTGAGAATTCCTCCACTGTTGCCCCCAATATCAATCATCCGGGCCATGCTGGTTGCCTCTATTCAAGTATTATGATAATTAGAGTACGTATTGGGTGTAGTTGGAGTCTTTTTAATTACTTACCTATGTGACTATGTTCCAATTTATATGCCTACAAACTTTGACATGGTCATAATTCATAAGTCAATTACTTGTGATTAAAGTTTTTGTTTTTTAAGAAGGGAAATGGTGGGGAAAGGAAGGTAAGATTCCTATGATTAATTTTCAAATCTTTATTTTTAATTTCAAAGGAAATAGAAAGGAATACATGTGAAATTTCCATTGTGCTTGAATTATTCTTTTTCTTATAGTTTTATTATTATATTATTATCAAATACTTATATTTATGATTTTGTTATTATTATCAAATACTTACATGTAATAATCACAAAATCCCAAAAGCATCAAAATTGTACTAAATTTATAAATATAAAATTATAAAAACTATTAGTTTTTTATCTATTTTTTTTTAAATTTAAAACATCTTCCAAAATTAGGGTTTCTAACCCAAACAGGAGCCAATTAGTTCCAAGATTAAGATTTAAGATTAATTAGTGTTTCATCAAGTCAATTAGGGTTCCATTAGGCCGGACACCACCCATTTGCCACCTCGGTCGGTGGTGGTCGGCGGCGGCTCACGGCGGCAGCCACCACCTCGTGGTCACGGTGGGGTTTTTCTTCGGATCTCCAGCCAAGAAACGCTCCTTCAGCACCCTTACCATTAAAACACATGCACACAAACACCATAACACGCACACAACCACCTCTCACGGTGGCTGGTGGCGGCAGAAAAAAGTAACATGGCGGCAGCCACCATGGTTGGCTGCCATGGTGGTCTTCTTGCGTTTTCCAGCCGGAAACTCGCCCACACAGCCGCTATGACGATTGAAACACGCACACACACGATAACATGGGCTGAATTACGAATCACACACACGAAACACACACAGCACCACCACTCTTGTGGCGGCACACGGTAGCCGAAGAGGGTATTGCCAATGCGTGACAGTCGTCGGAGTGGCGGTGGCGAATGACCTGAGAAATGACAGAAGAACGGGGGGAGGAAAGGTCGTCATTATCGGAGAAGGTAGAGACAACAGCGGCCCCAGCGTTGACTTTGAATCTCGTCTTTGTCGGCAGCAAAACGGCAGTGACGGTGCACAACTCTCGGTGGTTCACGATCTCGACGGTGGAGGGAGCGGCGGCTGGAGATGAGAGGGTATAAGGGTGGTGGCGATTTACAACTAGGGTTAGGGGTTAATGTAGTTTGAAGCGGGAAGGGAAGAAGCGTCGGTTCAACCCGTGCATTCACCCAAACTTATGCCCCTTTTATCCAATTCTGGTCCCTCCCCATAAAACCTTTTTCAAAACAACTCCAATATTTATCAAATAACCCCTATCTTTAATAATTCCTTACAATTCAAGTCCCAATAATTACCATGCAACCCCTGTCTTCATAAAAATTTACAAACCGAATCCGGATTTTACTTTTTAGCCCCCGAAAATCCAAATTATATTATGTCTCCCCAAAACCAGCACCCTGCTAAATATTATGGACTTTAGGAGTACTATTCATTTATTAATCTTTATCTATTTATTTATTTAATAAACGGGATGTTACATGGCAGGTATATAACATTAAACAAATTTTTCGGGATTATAATTAGTCACTGAACTTTTATGGGTGTTTTATTTTAGTCTTTATACTCTGTTTAAGCTACCATTGGTCACTGAACTTGTTTATTTTTTCATTTTAGTCACTTTAGTCTTTTATTATCATTAATAAAATAAAAAAATAAAAAATGAATAAAAACTACTACTTTTTTCTTTTTCTCCACACCTAAACTTGTTACATCAATTTTTTTAGAGTAAATTATACGATTAATCCTTGTGATTAGGGCAACCTTCACATTTAGTCATTAACCTTTTTAACTTGAATAGTCCTAATGGCTTTAAAAAGACTATTTTGCCCTTATCCACCCGATTTCTCTTGTCGCTCGTAGAAACGTACCCGATCAATGTGGAAAATTTAGCTTCACTTTGGGTGACCCCTTGGGAAGTCTTCATATCGGGTGGCCCAATGCGGACAATATCTTCATATGTGCGAATCAATTGAAAACACAAACAAGTCTACATCTTCTTCCAGTAGCTCGAATCAAGGGACTCGATCCACCTTCAAACCACAAGGACTATGTTTTTGTATGAAGCAATTGAAAACAAAAACAAGTTGGACCAAAGAGAATGTGGGTAAGAGGTTTGATGGAGAAAAGGAAAAAACAGTAGCTTAAATTTTAAACAAGTCCAATGACTAATGGTAGCTTAAACAAAGTATAATGACTAAAATAAAAATCCCACAAAAAAATCAATGACTAATTATATCGTAGACGACGTTGTTTCATGTTTGGTGGGATATCAAGTCCATCAAGAAAATTACAACCATTTACTTGTAAATAAAACGTAATATAGTGGAAAAAAGGGATTGATCCTCGGGGAAATGGTTGTATTTAATCACCAATGCAATTCAGTTGAACAAGTGAAATAAAACTAACTAACTACAAATAAACTAAAAGGGGGAGGGGGTTTGTGATTTCTTGAAAACTAAATAACTTGAAGAATTAAAAACCTTGCAATTAAGCAAGATGGCGTGATGCTCAAATATTAGAGATAATTGGTCAACCAAGCTGTAACGCTCGTAGATTAGGGCTAGTCAATTTATAGATAATAAGCGTAAAAATGATTTTTTTGATAGAATGTTATTTAGGATAAATAACCTTAACCAAAGTTATAATGTATGTGACAAGGGTTCCGTACATATAAAGAACGTTGAAATCCGACTTCGTATGAAGAAGTTATGCTCTTTGAAGTTTCGCAATTAAACTGGCACAGCTCTACGTGTCGTAAAAAGTGAATTTTTGATAAATTGCTTTTTAGCCTAAGAGGTCTAAACAAAAGTCGTAGTAGTCGTTAAACCGTGAGCATACATATTGTAACACCGTAAATTTTCAAACAAAAATTTTCATTTAAAAATCACATAATTCTCATAACACATTTCACAAAAATCCAATTTATTTAATTTACAAAACATAACTCCATAATTATTTAATTAATAATCCAGGATCCTCAAAACATAACTCTTTCTCTTGTGTGTACAATCAAGCCGGTGTCTTCCCGCGATCCTGATAAGAACCTGAAACACATAACACGGTAAGCACGAAGCTTAGTGAGTTCCCCAAAATACCACATACAGGTCATTAGCCACTCGATGCTATAACTCTGTAAGACCCTCTGGTCAATGTGTCTCAGTGGGACCCTCCGGTCCCACAACTCTGATGGACCCTCCGGTCCTAACTCTGATGGACCCTCCGATCCTAACTCTGTAAGCTCAGAATAATACACGACATAAATCACAAAGACAAAATGCAGGATATCATAATACTCAATATAAGCACATAAGACCCTTCGGTCACACAAAAGCACCACTCTAGGTAAAGTATAGTAAGAAGATTCACCTCGGATGATGAACATCTCCTATAGATGCTGTTGCTGCACCGGCCTCTAACACTGGACCTAAATCCACAATTACCCCATTAAGAACTAAGTCTCAATCCTCACTCTTTAGGTCTAAAGGTAGTCCACCAACTAGCCCATTAATAACCTAAAACTCATTGGGGCCCAACAAGGCCCAATAATGAATGGGCCTTCCCCGAGGCCCAACTCTCAAGTCCAAGAGACAAGCCCAACTCAAGGGTCCAAGGCATAATTATAATATTTCTCTTCTCATAGTCTCTAATACACAAGCCCAAAGATTCAGGCCCATTATAAGATCTAGCCCAAAAGCCCACAGTGAGGTTACGCGGGGCGTACCTCCCTTGGTACGCTCAGCGTACACACGCATGCATGAATCTGATCGGGGACACCAACCCAGTACGCGGGGCGTATTGGAACTTACGCTGGGCGTACGCCCAGTTTTGCTTTAGTCCATTCTCTTGGTCTTAACCCGTTAAGACCTTAGCTCATTTCTCAGATCTGGACTCCCTAATAGCTCTTACTCCATAAAGTCAGTGACTTTAAGCCTTTGCATGGCTGATATGGTCATAAACACACAAAACACTCACTCTTTTATCTCAAAAAGTTCATTTCTCATGCATGGCTTGATTCCAACGTCCAAGGCTTGATTTTTATGACACTACACCACTAATTGTACTCAAAAGGGTTTATCATAGTCTCTGGAGCTCAATATCTCATAAAGTCTCCAACTTTTGGGACAAAAACCCTAAAATACTCTACTAGGATGCACAAATCAAAAGAGTGAGAAAGCTTGAAGCTTTATACCTCAATATGAAGCTTCCAACACAGATATGCTCAGATCTAAGGGCCTGGACTCTCACTCCTTCTTCTCCAAAGCTTGTTCTTCACTCCAAGAACACACAAAGTCACCCAAAGGCTCTCAAATGCACTCACAAGATCTATGAACGAAGATTTAGGGTTTTGGAGGGTTTGTTATCTGAGAAGGGTGGCCAGGAATGAGGCAATCTCATTCTTTATATAGGGACACTCCTCAATTAGGGTTTTTCCTTCTGTGCCTAGTACGCCCAGCGTACCCTCTGGTACGCCCAACGTACTAGGTGGCTCCGCTTAAAGGTCACGCACATAAGTACGCTAAGCGTACACACACGTACGCCCATCGTACTCAGCTTCCACCTTTCTCAATAAAAGGACTTATCTTGCCCAAACTTCAAACTATCATAGCTTCCTCGTTATAAATCGGTTTCCAATGAACCTCATATCCACGAAAAGGTGACGAGAAGCCTTATGCTTCTAGCAACTCGTCGCAGCCCCGAGTCTTTCTCATGCCCGGGCTGCAGCCCATGAACCCAAAATCATGGACGATCCGAAATAAATTAAAAATAAATTTGTTAACGGACTTTTACAGTTTAAGTCTGTTAAATATATAGCTTCAAAAATAAATTAAAAATTAGCCGAAGCAGTCTAAATGAAGGTTGTAGAT